TACTCCCACCACAAGCCTAGTGAAGGTGGGATTGGATCAAGCGTCCACTACAACAAAGGTACCAATTGAGCCAATTGGCACCTTTATTAAGGGGGTATTGGACAAGATGATTGATTCAGTTGCCATGTCAACAAAAACAGTTCAGTTTTAGTTACTGATGCAGCAGTTGTTTTTGGGGGCATGACATGTTTCATAGGTGGAGGGTACAAAGAACAATTGCCCTATGAATGGATATTGATATGTCATACTCAAGAAGGTCCCCAACAGCCCAGCCAACGGCCAAAGTTTTCTCCATTCATATGGGGTAGACAAAAACAGAAAAGACATTGGAGGCCTACATTTTTGGCGCAGAATATGAGCTGGGTCCGGGACCAGGTCCAACATATCCCTCATTAAAAAGTGGAAGTATGTATTTGTAGGATGGAGCAAAATAAAGATCCCATCATCACCGATTTTTTTTAGTCCTTCCAAATTGACATCTAGTTCTATAATGTTGCGGGAAAATGTTTTATCCAAACATGGCCACCACATATGTGAAATATACATGATTAATTTTGACTATAAAAATGACATCATACAGCTACCAATCAGCTTTCAACTGCCAACACGGAGTGGTGGTTCGTTTGGCATGTAAAGTCAAGAAGAATTATTAATATTGCTAGAAAAATGCCATAGTAGGCCGATAATAATTGAATTACGGCCCCTAAGGGCAACTTTTGGGCCCTAATATCAATAAAAGTAATTATTTAATTTTAAAAATAGGTTAATTTTTTAAAAAATAATAGTAATTAAGGGCAAAACATTGTTCATCTTATAGCTTTTGAAATTAAGTCATTAACGCCGTCGCTGCATCCGGCAACCTTTGGCAACGCCTCCGCCTATCTTTGGCAACGTTGCCGGAGGTAGAGGCTGCAACGGCGGCGCTGGTGGGTGGAGGTGGCGGCGTTGGGCAGAGGTTTGACCACCAGCACCGCCGCCACCGCCTCTGCCTCCGCCCGCCTCTAGCAACATTGCCGGAGATTGTCGGATGCGGTGGCGGGAAGCAGCGCTGATGACTTAATTGCAAGAGGAAGAAGATGAACAATGTTTTTTACCCTTAATTGCTATTATTTTTAAAAAGTTAACCTATTTTTTAAATTTAAATAAAAGTATTAGGGCCTACAAGTTTCCCTTATCTGTTATATAAAGTAAAAAAGTTCCACGTAGATGGCCTCAACTTTCTCCCTTTTCCCAATCAATCAGGGCACTATTCGTGCAATTGGAGGACGCGCCACACGTCCTCCAATTCATATAAACGGTTGAAGCATGCGAGGGATGCTTCACATCATTAGTGACTTGTTTTCTCCCTTGAGTGTCACAAAGTGACTCATTCTCTTCTACCTCTCTCTCCCCCCATCCACCCGAGGGTGACTTAACATCCATTATCGCCGGCGACAAACAACTATCACCGGCAGACGGATCAACCTCAGGGAGGGGTTGCTGCTTGAAGCCTTGTTCCCTCAAAATAGCTCTCACCATGGTCACTAGCTCTTTATTACTAAGTCTAGTCTCGTGCTCCTTTAGCACCATCTGAACAGCGTTACTAAAACGCCCCACACACCTTGTCTCCGTCATTAGTCGGATTCATGTCCACAGATGTCTCATTCGCCTGGCAGCCGTTGAGAAGAATGCCTGCATCTGGGTGCAAAGACCCCATCAGACTATTCTAAAGCTTTTGCAGGTGAAACTTGCTGCTTGCGTCACCGCCGAAGACTTGGCACAGGTGGGTGTCAATATCTAGTGAGTCGATGCCGGTGAGTGAAGTCAAGTGCTGCAGGATTGAGTCTAGAGGAATGGTCTTGGGGCGGCGGGCTGGTGGTGCACCGCTAGCAATAGAGGCCGCCATTGTGGCATGAGTCTGAGATGATAGTGAAGCTTGCTCCCTTTGGCAAGTGATTCACAAAGTGTCGATAATCGACATCTATTGAGGAGTTGCAGTCAGTCTTGTTTGTTGCCGGCGGTAATGGTTGTTAAGTCGCTATTGGGTGGATGGGGGGAGAGAGAGGGAGAAGTGACCTCCGACCACCGGTAATGGTTGTTAAATGCCGGTATCCGATGGTGATGGCTGTCATCCAAAACGATTAGGGTTAGTTTCATGGAAGAAGAAGATATGCAAACGAGACAATACCTAAGGTTGATCCGTCCACCGGTGATGGTTGTTTGTCTCTAGCGGTAATGGATGTTAAGTTATTCAAAGTTATTGATTCACATTTATTCATTATAGAAAATTTATTAATTGTTTCTGAAAAATATGAATAGTAATTATTCAAAGTTATTTAATTTATAAAAATTATTCATTAAATATTCTTCATAATTATTGGTCATTTTTTGTTAATACTTTAGGATCATTCACTATATTAATAGTAGGGATGTTAATTGGATTGGATTTAGTCCAATCCAATCAAGTCCAATGTGAGTCCATTATAAATGGACTAGGTCCAATCCAATCCAATGAATGTTTTGGACCAATTTGGGCCGGTTCAATTCAATGTCTAGACCGTCCAATCTGTTCAAATTTGTTTTGATTTAGATTGGTTACAACTCAAATCCGATCCATTGACACATATATTCTTATCTTATATCAATGGACCAGATATTGGCTTACTTTTTTTTTTTGGTGAATGATATTGGCTTAATCCAAACCCTATTCAATATAAATTTGTTATGGATGGACCAGGTCCAAACCAATCTAATCAATATTTTAGACCGGATTGGTCCAATCCATTATGTCTTGTTGGTCCATCCAATCCATCCAAATTGATTTTGGACCGGATGGGGTCCAATCCAAAACCGGTCCATTGACACCCTTAATTAATAGTATTGATAATTATAAAAAATTAGTAGAAATATCCAAAAACATAAAGTTGGCATAAATTGTCACAAAATAGTATAAAGTTACAAATAACATAAATTATGTTAAATTACCAACACTTAGCATAAAATTGCTAGTAATTGTTGATAAATTATCTTAAATTGCTAGAAATTACATAAAATAACCAAATAATATAACCAAAATAAATTACCACTATTTACAATAAATTTCCAATAATTATGAACAATTATTACAAAATAGTATAAAATTTCCAAAAAATAGCACAAATTATCATAAAATGGTAAAAATATCAAAATACAGAAATTACACAAATTTTAAATGAAATAATTAAATTAATAGAAATTAACAGAATTTAGTAGAACTTAGCAACAAGTTATCAATACTTTTATAAAAAATGATAAATTGCTAAAACTTAGCAAAATATTACCACTTAATCACAGAAAATATGATAGATTACCAAAGACTGAAAACAACTTCATATAATAAATTACCAATACTTGGCACAAATTACCAATACTTATTGATAGTCATCTTAAATTACTAGAAATTACCTGAAGTTATCAAATAACCAAAACAAATTACTTTTATTTATCATAAACTACCAATAATTATAAAAATTGTCATAAATAGTATAAATTTGCAGAAATTATCACAGTTTATCATAAATTAGTACAAACATTCACAAACGTTAAAAAAATTTTTACATGAAATAAATAAATTAATTAAAATTACAAAAAATTAGAAGAACTTAGCAAAATATTACCACTTTTTTCCAAAAAAATATGATAAGTTACCAGAAATTACAAATAAACTATCATATAATAAATTACCAGGACTTAGCACAAATTACCAATACTTATTGATAATTTATCTTAAATTTCTAGAAATTACCTAAAATTATCAAATGACCAAAATAAATGACCATTAGTTACCATAAATTACAGATAATTATAAATAATTATCATAAAAAGTAGAATTTTTCAGAAATAATCAGATATTAGTAAGAATATCCAAAAACATAAATTACATAATTTTTAAATGAAATAAACAAATTAAACTACAAAATTTAGAAATTAGCAAAAAATACCACTTATTTTCACAAAGTAAGATATATTACAAGAAACTACAAATAAATTATCATATAATACATTACCAGGACTTAGCACAAATTACCAAATACTATTGATAAATTATCTTAAATTTGTAGAAATTACCTAAAATTATAAAATAACCAAAATAAAGTGCCATTATTTACCATAGATTACCACTAATTATAAAAAATTATCATAAATAGTAGAAATTTCCAAAAATGATCACAATTATCATAAATTATTAGAAGAATTGGAAAACATAAATAAAATAAATTTTAATTGAAATTACCAAAAATTAGAAGAACTTAGCAACAAATTACCACTTATGTCCACAAAATACGATAAATTACCAGAAATTACAAATAAATTATCATCTAATAAATTACCAAGACTTAGCACAAATTACCAACACTTATTGATGAATTATATTAAATTACTAGAAATTACTTGAAACTATCAAATAACCAATATAAATTACCATTATTTTCTAGAAATTAGCACATATTATCATAATTAGTATAAATATCCAAACACATAGACTTAGTATAAAATTATTATAAAATTGTAGAAAATTACCAAAAAATTATTAAAAATTTACTAAGACTTATCATAAAATTACCAATAATTATGGATAAATTATATTAAATTTATAGAAATTGCACAAAATTACCAAATAATATAACCAAAATAAATTACCATTATTTACCATAAATTACCAATAATTATAAAAACTTATCTTAAAATAGTAGAAATATTGAAAAACATAAATTACACAATTTTTAAAGAAATGATATAGATGATTAGTTTGTTATACTATATTAACTTTTATTATGGATCATCTTATATATTTCTTAGCTGGTTAGACCTGAAATAGGTTTGATCTGATTTTTTGTTAATTTTTTCTTGCATAACAAAAGCTTAACAAAGCCCGTGCATTACACGGGTCCCGATTAGTATATTAAAAGACAAAATAATAAGCCAATTCAGTTCAGCAATTTCAGCTGTTATCAGAACATGAAACTAAAGGTTTGAGCAGGAGATCTAGGTTTGGCCCTGGCTTACTTAAAGTGGCATCTACAAACAGTTAGGGCTCGCAAACGCAGCCCGTTCAGTCACTCTTCAGCATTTCTCCCAAACGTTGCAGAGAGTCTCTCTCTACTTTCTCTCTCTCTCTCTCTCTCTCTGATTTCTGCTCAATTCGTTTCGCTTTCGATTTGATTTCTCAAGGGATCACTCTCTTATTCTTGCTTATGTTTTTATTTGCTGGTTTGTTGTAGTCGAAGGAGAAAATGGCTTTAGCCTTCGATGAATTCGGCCGGCCGTTCATCCTAATAAAAGATCAGGAGCAGAAGACCAGGTTAAGAGGTTTGGATGCTCAGAAGGCCAATATTTCCGCGGCAAAGGCGGTTGCTCGCATCCTCCGTACATCACTTGGCCCCAAGGGCATGGACAAGATGCTTCAGAGCCCCGACGGCGAAGTCACCATTAGTGAGTTCTACCACTTCTTCTTTGCCCATCTCTTGCAACTGATTTAGTAACTGACACTCATTATCCTTCAGTTGTTTCCTGCTTCGTTAGTCCTGATCGGTTAGTGAACCACACACATCGCTCACTTCTGGGTTTGGTTTTTTATCTATCATTTGGTCGAGGCATATATGTTGAAGATATAGTTTGGATTATTTGTAGAGGATGAGCTCATAGTCATGGGATTGGTTAAGGTGTATTTATTCTGCTGTTATTTTCTATTAGAAAACGAGATACTAAGTTGAGGACAGTTTTAGTGGAAAATGAGATCGAAAAGTTGGATCTGGGACTTATGCCAGTTAATGTGCTGGTTTGGTCAATGATAATTTGTACATGTGTGTTAGAGCTATGCTTTTATGCATTCACAGAATTATTTAGAACTACTTTAAGGGGCTAACTCTTCACCTTGTGCATGCGTCTCGCCGTCTCCTTGGAAGTCTTCATTACAAATTCCATGAGATGATGAATGCTTGATCCATTTTTGAGGTTTTCTCATCTACCTACCTCAACTCGGTTTCCTAGCTACAAACTGGCAAACTTATTTCTTATTTATACTACTTGTATGACTTATTATTATATGTTTCTTTATTGCATAGTGTTGATTTTATCTGCACTAGAGATAAAGATAAAACGTTGAGGCTGCCAACTTATAAAATCTTGAGAGACTTAAATGGGATATTTGTTTCTAGATCTCTATCCCTACACGATGTTTAGGGCTGCAAATAATTCCGATCAGATCCGTTCCGAATCCAAATTCAATGCAATAAGAGCTGAATTCGGATACCTCCATTGATTCCAACAAACCGGATTGGATCAAAAAAGTTGACCCGTTAGTTATAATATATATATATATATATATATATATATATATATTGTATTTTGTATTCTATATTCTATATTATATATTATAACATATTATTATATCATATCTTGAAAATTTGACGGATTCTTATTGAAACTGGATTGATCGGATTTCTTATTGGATCAGATCAGATACACCATTTACCGAATCTGATCCAATCTGTTTGCAGCCCTAACGATGTTGAATGGTCCAGTGGGCTTAGATATTTTTAGGGTTAGGGGGCTGGAACCAGATGTTTTATCCTCTTCTGATGTTATTCCTTCAAATGGGGCAATATATCACTGTCAGACTTTCATTACTGTTGCTCAACAAACTTTCTTACTGTGTTTTACCTCACAATTTTTTATTTCCTCTCATCATGGTTACAGTTTTTCAGTGACCCAGGTTTATGTTTGTTTGATTTGTTTCCAAGTGAGAAGTGTTTTGTTTATTTTCATGTTGGAGATTGGAAGATGCATGCTGAGCCAGAAAGAGTGTTTGTATTATATGGAGACTTGGGGTAAACAGATTCAAGAAGATACATCAGGTTGATAATAAATCACCCAACAAAGGAAAGACCAAGACTTTCAACCTAACCCTTTAAATGAACTAACTGTGGTAACCACGAGAGTCAACCTGAAAGCCCCCACTCCAACAGCAAAACAATGAGCCCAAGCCAAAGATCACAAGGAAACTCCTTCTAAAATACACAGAAATAAACAATCCCACCGAACCCTCCCTGCCCCTAACCTTATATCAATGAAACACCCTGAACCCAAAATCCCAATTTCAATGAGAAGCAACATCAAGCTTTACCCATTTCCCCAACCCATCTAGTGTCTAAAACAAAATTCTCTCTTCTTTTCTGAGAGGCTTTTTTATCTTCTTCCCCCCCTTCATTGGCCCCACCCCAAATAATCCTACCTTTAATCTGGCAAAAACTTTTGAAACTTGCACTATTTGTCTGGTTTTCTTTATTCTGAATCTTCTTATTGTGTTAGCATTTTTCTCCATCATCGAAGAAGCAACCCTGTTAGCATTGATCCTTTATAACTCAAATATCACATTATTTTCGAATAATTGATCTGCACCCAAGTCTTCTCTCTCTGTAGTCCCCTCCACTCATCGGCTCCTAAAACCATATTTGTCATTTCTTCTCCATATTCCAAAAACTCCTGCAAAACCCTAAGGATCATGGGATGCTTGCAAACTTGTCACTTTTCAATTATAGTTAATGGGACAATGTATGATTTCTTTGAAGGATTCCGTGGGCTTCGACAGGGTGACCCCCTTTCTCCTTTTCTATTTACCCTGATTGCTGAAGCACTAAGTAAATTGATTTCAAGAGCAAATGGTGTGTAGTTATTCAGGGGATGGTCAGTTGGGAGGGATTACATTTTAGTAACTCATTTACAGTTTGCAGATGACATTTTCATTTTTTGTGATGGAGAAAGTAGGGAGGGAGTGGAAAATCTGAGGATGGTTATGAATCTCTTTGAGAGGATGTCTAATTTGAGGATGAATTGGTCTAAGAGTTTACTGGTTGGAGTCAACATTGAAGAGGATGAAGTGAGATTTATGGCAAGTTCCCTAGGTTGTGAGAAAGGTGAGTGGCCAATGAAATATTTGAGTTTTACCCCTTGGAGATAACCCTAGATCTACTAGTTTTTGGTCTTCGGTGGTAGAAAGGATAGAGAAACGATTGGCGGCGTGGAAAAGAAATTATATGTCATTGGGGGGGGGGAGAATAACCCTAATTAAATCCACTTTAGCAAATCTCTAGTGTACTACATGTTAGTGTTTAGGATGCCACAAAGGATAGCGAGGAAAGTTGAAAAAAATCATGAGGGATTTTCTCTGGGAGCCAGGGAAAAAAAGAAGGATCATTTGGTTAGATGGGAAAAGGTGAGGAAATTGAAAGAGGAAGGGGGTTTGAGAATAGGTAATGTTAGAATGAAGAGTCAAGCTGTTAAGGGCCCGAGAATAGGATCTCGTCACGGGTCGGTCCACGGGGAAAACCTCCTGTTTTCCCTTGTTCCTCCCTTTTATTGAAGAACCGATCTTGGCGCCTTAATGGTGATTTGTTCAAGAGATCACCAACTCTGCTTTTCTCTTTCTTGACTGAAATTTTCGATGCCTTTATTGAATATTATTAGCTCCTTAAATAGGAGATTACAAGAGATAAGAGTCCTACTTTTAGGAAGACTCCCTACTAATCTACTACTGAACATATAAGATAAGAACACTGAATAGATAAGACTCCCTACTAATCCTACTATTGAAAACAGATAAGATAAGAATGTTGAATAGATAAGATAGAACAACTGTATCTAGCTGGAATTAGATAAGATGAGAACTGAGAACACCCAATTACTGCTGCTGCCGGCGGCGATACTTCTTCCCAGTAAACGCGTCCACATCATTACTCCCCTCCTAGACTAAGAGCTTGTCCTCAAGCTCGAAACCAGGATATGTGTCTTGGAACTCAGTCAAGGGGATCCAAGTGGCTTCGGCTGATGGTAGGCTGGCCCATTCCACCAGGACTTCGAGAACACCCTGGTTGATTCGGGAGCGAACAAGAGCCGGAGGTTGGGGAATGAGTTTGCCCTCTTTCAAGGGTGGTAAGGGGGGAACTCGATCAGGAGGAATACCCTTAAACGGCTTGAGCAAGGAAATGTGGAAAACATCATGGATCCTACTGCGCTCTGGCAGTTCTAGCTGGTATGCAACCGTACCAATCCGTCGCAAAACCTTGAAGGGTCCATAAAATTTAGGAGCAGCCCTGTGACTCAAGGAGCATTGCCGATAGGGCTGGAGCTTCAACCAAACAAACTGTCCAGGTTCACATGACAGTTCCCGATGATGCTGGTCAAAGGCACGCTTCATGCGTAGTTGTGCCTGCTGTAAGCGAAGAGAAACTTCAACTAGAAGGGCATTGCGCTCTTGTAGGGAACGATCAATCTCCTCCAAACGAGTAGAACCGGGTTCATAGGATAACAAACGAGGAGGGTCACGGCCATAGACGACCCGAAAGGGTGTCATTCCCAGGGAAGAATGATAGGCAGTGTTATAAACAGTACTCGGCCCAAGGAAGCCAATCAACCCACCGTCGCGGTTGATCTCCAACAAAACAATGGAGATACATTTCGATCGTACGGTTCACCACCTCCGTTTGTCCGTCTGACTGAGGATGATAAGCGGAGGAAAAAGCTAAGGTGGTGCCATGTAACCGGAACAATTCCTTCCAGAAGGCACTAGTAAAAACTGGGTTCCTGTTGCTGACAATAGATTCCGGCAACCCGTGTAGACGGAAAACTTGCGTAAAGAAGACGTGGGCGACTGAAGTAGCATTGCATGGATGTGACAGAGGGATTAAATGGGCGTACTTAGAGAAGCGATCCACCACCACGTAAAGAACTGATTTTCCGCCAACCTTGGGTAGTCCCTCTATGAAATCCGTGGAGATATCAGCCCATATCTGTGCTGGAATCGAAAGGGGTTGAAGAAGGCCCACCGGGTGCAGGTTCTCCCATTTCTGCTGTTGACACGTGGAGCAATTTTGGATAAAGTCCCTAATAGAAGCCTTCATACCCTGCCAATGGAAATCGGCTTGGACACGGTGCAGTGTCTTCTGAATGCCTTCATGGGTGGAGTTATGAATGCTGGAGATGATGGAAGGAATTAAAGAGGAATCTGCTGGGAGATGTACCTGACCTTTATACAACACCAACTCGTCATGAAGGGACCAATTGGAGTCGGCAGCTCCGGACTGAACTTTTTGAACAAGGGTCGTCCACTCTGGTGATTGTGGCATCGCCTTCCTGATGTCGTCTAACAAGGTGATTCGGGGATGGGAAATTCCACAAAGGAGCATAGTGTCCTCGTCACGTCTAGATAATGCATCCGCGGCGCGATTTAAGGATCCCGCCTTGTAGTCTACCCGGAAATCAAAGCCAAGCAGCTTGCTAACCCAATGTTGTTGAGGAGAAGTGGTAAGTCGCTGCTCCAACAAGTACTTAAGGCTATAATGATCAGTTTTGACGACGAATGATCTTCCCCATAAGTACGGTCTCCAGTGTTGGACTGCTCTAGCTAACCCAATCAACTCGCGTTCATAGGCGGG